ATCTGTAACTCATCATAAAGCGCATACGAGATAAGAAAAATACCCCCATCACGTGATTACTCAATCAACATTTTGACGTTCTATTAGACGTTAGATAATCATCCAAAATTCAATATTTTAATGAAAAAAGAAGAAGAAGAGGAGGAAGGGAAAAAATTCTTGTGTATCTGATGAGATTTTCTTGATAATTTTCTCCCTGATAAAAGTTTAATCAATGCTAGTTAGGTCTAGATCGCTTCCATTGATCATTGCCGTGTTGATTCATCTTCATGAACATCCCTACGGTTTGCAAATGAATTTTTAATGATTCTAACCTTATCAAACGAGTCAATTTCTTCGTGATTTCGATTCTGGTGGATAAAATAATGCTGCAGAGTAGTTTTACGGATTTTTTTTCTTTTTTTTTTTTTATTCTTCTGTCGATCTTTAATTAATTACTGAGCCATAAAACCATAGATTTAAATTGTGTATGGCTGTAGATAACATAGTTTTAAGGTTTTATACAGTTTAAACTATAGTTTTATGGATGTATATAAAATTATATCATGTAATACCGCTGTACAATTAGATCTAGATTGATTCCATTGATTCATCTTCATGAGCATCCCACGGTTTGCAAATGAATTTTTAATGGGTTCTACCCTTATCAAATGAGTCAATTTATTCGTGATTCCGATTTTAATGGATAAAATAATGCTATACAGAGATCTCTTTTATTCTTTTGTAGAACTGTAATTAATTATCGAGCCAAGAAACCAAGAATTTAAATTGTACGGCTATAGAAACCAAAGTTTTACGATTTTATACAACCTAAAACCATAGTTTTATAAATATAATATATATATAATTACATCATAAAATACTTCTGTTTAATCAATGCTGGTTAGATCCGGTTAGATTCCCTTGATCATTGCCATGCTGATTCATCTGCATGAACACCCTACGGTTTGCAAATGAATTTTTAATGATTCCATCCTTATCGAATGAGTCAACTTCTTCGTGATTTCAATTCTAATGGATAAAATGATGCCGCAGAATAATTCTAGAGCTTTTTTTTATTATTCTTACTAAAGATCTGTAATTGATTACTGAGCCATAAAACTATGGTTTTAGATTGTGTAAGGCTATAAATCGTATTTTTAGGATTTTGCACAATCTAAAATCATAGTTTTATCGATATATATATATATATATATAAGATTATATCAAACAATGCTTCTGTTTATAGAGATTAAATATCATTTACTCTACATAATCAATTCGGAGCTCACAAAGAATTGAATCAAGTAATCAGAATTGATCTGCCGTGTAAAACGAACTTGGGAAACCAATTTTTTGACAGAATTTTCTTTAAAAACGGCGCAAATTTAACAGATAAACAATGCAAAATTTGTCTTTCTAATTCGCTCTTCAGGAGCCCATTTCTTCAAGATCGATTTCTGTATAAGTGGAGGGAAAAGCTAACGTTAAACATGACCTAAATCGGATTTAAACGTGTAATTCATGTAATTATTCATTATCTCTTTAAGTTCTTCCACTGCTTAGAATTAAATTAAACGTCAAAATGATCAAAGACCTTAAGATATATTCACAGAAACCTTAAATAAGCCTCAAGCAATGGTGTATAGTTGTATGAGAAGAGATGAGTGTCAGCTGTCAACCGATATGTCAACTATATTGAAGACATTTCTTATTGCAAATCAAAGGACCTCACACAACTCCGTCTGTCAACCATTAATCTTTTCTCCGTTCCAAATTCGCATCTGTTTCTAGCAGCAACACGCGAATGCCTTCGAGACACGGGAAAACATACAATTCATTTACGTTTCTAGGATATTAAATTATCAATTTTCTAAATATATTTTGATAATATTTACTACCAGTGAAGGTAGAATATAACCACAGCATTACTTTTTTTTTCGTGTGCGTGTGTGGGTACGTATGTGTGTGTCTGTGTAAACTCCAGTCTAGTCTATGCATGTGCATTATAGGATTAAGCAACCGATAGCTGGAGGCATTTACCTAAATCCAGGTGCCACATTTTATAGCTTAAGATTAAAATCAGCAGTACTATAACATTAATTTTTTTTTACCTACCTGCCTATTGTGAGCCGTAAAACAATGATAAGGAAACTTTCTTTTATGATATCTCTCCTTCTTCCTCTCCCCCTTACTTGACGTTTCTATTAACTTAGACAGATTTCTGTACGTTTAACCTTTAAAAAAATTCCTTTTGTCACGATTTATGTTCATTTGTATCGTTCTTTGATTGAAATTCCTGCATATATTAACGATTGGAAGCATGATCATCTAGTTGGTTTCTAAAGAAATACGCATTTTTTAATGCCAAATTTACATTTTATTGTCCCTTTAATGTGTAATTTTTCTTCTAAAAGCCTTCTATATTAAATTTTAACAGATATTTTTAGATTATCATCGGTTAATTTAGACATTTAAACTATATGCAATGCAGGGTTCTTCAGTGTGAATCAAGCCTTTAAGATTTGTATCCAGAAAGTTAAAATGATAAAAGCTTTGGAGATTTGTCGGAAAATTGTCTAGTAATTTATAAAATATAGCAAAAATCTCCACAGTTACATTAAAAACCTCTTTAAAACCTTCAAGATGTCGCCAAAATTTGCTTAGAAATCTCTTTGAGGCTTTCAAAAAGAAATACGCATTTTTTCGCGCAAAATTTTAATTCTATTGTTATTTTAATGTGTATTTTTTTCTTGTAAAACACCTTTACTTTAAATTTTAATAGTTATTTTTCAATTATTTTCGGTTAACCTGAAGATTTAGTCTACGTGCAATGCAGGGTTCTTCAGAGAGAATAACAGTTGGAACTCAGCTTCAAGTCACCAAAATTAATATCCAGAAAGTTAAAATAGATAAATCTTTGAAGATTGACCAAAAAAATCGTCTATAAATTTCTAAAATATAGCAAAAACTTGCCAAAAAAGTAAAATAAGCACTTAAAAATCTTTCAAGATGCCACTAGAAATTGCTCAGGAATCTATAAGCTTTGCCACTAAAAAGAAAAAAAAAAAAAAGCGAATCTCTGCAAAGAAAGGGGAAAAAAACCTCAAAACTCCTAATAAACAATCTTTTTTTCTTCTTCTTTTCTTTTATATTTCTCTAAAATTTATGCACGCATTCCAACTTAATAATAGATTCTTTCTAAGTTAGAAGTAAAACTAGATGTTACAGTAAAAAAACTGCAATTAAAATAGATCATGGGGAAGGGATGCAATGATTAAACTTGTAATGTAAATTCTTAAAACTTCTTTTTTTTCTGATATAAAACACTATAATGTATTTTAATCGTTGAAAGGAAATTCTTGATAATAAAGTTGAGGTAAATCTGAGATTACGGCGGAAGGAAGATCGCGTTATCTGATAAGAAAATGTAATCATTCTCTTAAAATATCTTCAAAATGTTTAATTGTTTAACAATTATTGATAAATTTTCTACAAGACTTTTAAGTTAAATCACGAAATTTATGCTAAACTTGTCTAAGAATCTCTGGGTTTTAAGAATTGTCATAAATTCTAAAGAACTGGGAAAATCTATAAACCTACAAAATTTAATGGATAAATCCTCAAGAGCGAATAAAAATACCTAGAAACCTATTAACAAGTTGAAAATGCTCAAAAAATTGGCAAAATTGGCCAAAAGTTGCCTAGAAAACACCCCCCAAAAAACCCGTTAAAACTCTCCAGGATTTAACAAAACCCTACCAACGAAATCATCAAAATCTGGCAAAGAAATGTGATTAAAATATACAAGATGCGATCAAAAATGCCAAAAAGAAACACCGCCGAAACCCTCAAAGTTTCTTACAATTCTGATCATCAATTTGATGATAAGCTCAAACTTTAATCCTCTAAACGAATGCCTTATGGCAAGGGGCTATGGGCTATTGGCCTTATGGCAAGGGATAATTGGCAAGGGTTCAAAACAGTATGGAGCAATGGTCTTCATACTGTTTCTGCCTATTAACGTAGGCAATTCGTTAATGGGCAGAAAGAGAGTGCGTTATGGCATTAGTGCAAGAAGAAGAGGAGAGTCATTTCGAGTATTCGGATGTAAAAATGGATGTAGAAATGCCGTCCCCCCACTTCGATAATTCAATATAAACATTTTTCGGATGTCGATCACGTGTTGCTATGCGGCTGGAATGAAAGATAGGTGCTAGAACATTGAAGAGGGACACTCGGGGTAGAAAAACGGGAGGTTACAAAAGACGCCTAACCATTCATTAATGATGGAACCATCGCGTGATCGGATGTCCAGATAAATATCAAGATGACGTCCGGCCATGTTACATTATAAATGAATGGAGAGTCCACCGATGTGTATTAAATGATTTAATGATGTGGAACGGACAATATTATGTCAGCTAATTGAGAAAATGTCGTACGAAATCCTTGACCCCTCCGAGTAACACCCTTGTACCCGCATTTAGCGCAAAATTTCGTGAGAAAAATACCACGTAGATTCTTCAAATTTACAAATTCCTCGGTGACTAAAGTCGGGTAATTTGATCGCATACCTCGTGTGATTTTCGGCAGATTTTTTGGGAGAAAGATTAGTTTAGGTAATTTTGATAGTTTTTATCAATTTTTACACAATTTTTTTGAATATTTTTGCTAAATTTCAAATATTTTTAACAATCTTTCTTGTTAAATCTTAAAGATTTTTTGAGTTTCCTGCTAAATTCTTAAGATTTTTGCAGTTTTCCGCTAAATTTTCAAGATTATTCGGAAAGCTTTCCGCTAAATTCTTAAGATTTTTTGTGCTTACCGCTAAATTCTTAAGATTTTCGACAATCTTTCTGGTGAAATCTTGAAGATTTTTGCTGAATCCGGAATAAAATATTGCAGAAACATCACAAATATGGAGGAATTTGCTCAAAATATGCCAAAAATCATCATTTTTTTCACGCTAATGTAAGTAATATATTAACCATACAAAAAAATCGAAATTATAATATTACCTTGGAGAATTCTTAGGATGATGATGACGATGGCAATAAAATTCTTGGATGATTAACGAGAATTCGCTTCGGATACATTAATTTTGTGGTAATTATGAATGACAAGCGGTTGAATTCTTCATCAATTTCCTCGATATTCCCATGCAGATATAAAGAATTTGCCCTCCTTCTTCCTCTTCTTCATACCAAGGAAGATGACCAGAAAATTAATAAGAAAATACAATTAGTTACATAATTAATTAAATGCCAGTTCATCTTGTAACCTAAAAGAGATGTTACTTTAACTGAAAAACTAAAATGGAAAAAATTAATTTGATCACATTTTCGGATAAAATTTTTCTCGTTAATTTAAACGTCGTTTCTTTCTACGATACAAATCTTTAACTTTATAAATTCATACGCTGAGCCAATATTGAAGTTTAATGTATTAATTATGAAATAGTTTGTTTAAAAATCTTTCAAACAAGTTTTTATATACAAAAGTTGCTTTTTTTTCTTAAAGGTTCTGACTGATAAAAAGATCAACGTACAAATCCAATCTCGAAAATTCCTAGCTAGTTTTTTTTTATGTAAATAAATCTGGTTAACTGTAGGTAAGTCTTTCTATGTCTAGGTAAATCTAGGTAAGAATAGATAAGCCTAAGTAAGCCTAGGTAAGTTTAGATAAGTCTAGGTATTTCTAGGTAAGCATATGTAAGTCTAAGTATGTCAAGGTAAATTTAGGTATGTCTAGGTTTGTCTATGTAAGCCTAGGTAAGTCTAGGTATGTCTAGATAAGTCTAGGTATTTCTAGGTAAGTCTAGGTATGTCTAGATAAGTCTAGGTATTTCTAGGTAAGTCTAGGTATGTCTAGATAAGTCTAGGTATTTCTAGGTAAGTCNCACTGATCTCTTCCATTGAATGCACCAACCACTGATCTCTTCCATTGAATGCACCAACCACTAATCTCTACCATTGAATGCACCTACACTGATCTCTTCCATTAAATGTACCAACCACTGATCTTTGACTCATGTTTGTTGCCCTTGCTCCTTGTGAAATCAGAGCAATGAAAGGATACCAACTATCCTTAACGTCCTATCAATGGACAAGAGTGCCAAAGGAAGCAATCCCAATTGATTATATTATTATAGAGTAGGAAAGTTTCTTAAAGCAGATTAACGAAGCATTCTTATAACTGATCTGAACTAAAGACTCGGCTAAATTATATTGTTATAGTATAAGAGTACCATTCTTGGAGTCAGCTCAGCATCCTTGGAATCCAGATCAATTATATTATAATAGGGTAATCCTTCAATTTATCTTATTATATCATAGATTAATAACGATCCGGACTAGATAAGGACTAGGAAAATCCAGATCAATGCGCCTTTTTACAGAAATTAAATGGAACAACACGAATTTTTTAAGATACAATTCATAGCTTGGGGTGAGGAAGTGGAAAAATTAAACACAGCTACTTTAACCGATTTAAATTTAAGATATGTCAAGATTACACGTGATTTGGGGATAATTTGCATAAATTATGCTTCTGTGTCGTCTCTTCTATATTGTAAATATTACTGTTTCATTAACATCATTCAAAGAATGACACGCAAGAAGGGGGGTTGCTCCACATTAAAAACTGACATTTTATAACCCCTAAAAGTAAACTTAAATAAAACATCTTTTAATACTTATAAAACCTCACAGAGAATCTTATATTTGTGCTAAAATATACATTTAAATACATTTTATTAGAGAGAGAAAGGGAAAAAACCAGTTCTTACTATTAATTAGGTGTGCATAATCGAACTCAACACAATGGATAATTTTGGCGCTTGAGAATTCCAATGATCGGAGGCACGATAGCAATTATAGAACATCAACATTAATTAATTAGCCTAATTATGTTTCTTGTTATAAATTAAAAATGTCATCATCATGACAGCCATTGTTGCTTCAGGTTAATGAGTGAGCAACAGGTCTTTTCTTCCATCATGACCGACTGAAAAATGATTCCGTGATGTTGTTAACGGCAATAGACCTCGTGTTAACCCTGCGAAATGGGTCCTAAACTATAATACGTGGCCATTGTTAAGAGGTTTTTTTTTTAATCCTCCGTGTATGCAAAGTATAAGTCTATCGGAGGATCAAAGCAGCAGCAACGCGTTGGCCATCTCTATTTTTTTTTTCCTCTTTGAATTCAGAGAAGATCCGACAGGAATTAAACTAAATAAAATTAATTTTAAAATTGATTCTCTTTAATTTAAATTAAGCACACTTGATGGTAAGATTTAGAAGATTAACATTCATAAATTTCTTATTGGTTCTTCGTAATTTTCCTCCAATGTTTGAAGCGAAGTAGGTGAAGAAGATGGAAGCTGGCACAAAAAAAAAAATATATATATATAGAAAAAAAAATCTTTTTTCGCCTCAAGGTAGCTATTAAATACTGGACGTTTCTCTTGTGCTGCTCACGCTAAGGTACCGCCTTTCCGATAGCTGTAAATATTAGTCACAAGACTCCCCTAACGAGCTACCTTCAACGTGTCTGTATGTGCCTAAGGGCATCCGAGAGCAGACAGGTGGTTATGTTGTTCCAGTTCAGTAGCTACCTTCTTCGTCTTCATTATCACTCCTTTTGTGAGAACATTCTATCTCCAGTTCGACAAATCCGATTAGGGACAGTAAGGGTGGTTTTCTCAACGTCTGAAACGTTACATCTGTGTGTTGTGTAATGTATGGGGGCGTAGAAAATTTATATGTAAACATGGAATATCTTCGATTTTATCATTTATAAAACTCATTTTTGAATTAAAATACTCGACATTTAAAAAAAAAATCCTTTAATTATACTCCGTAATCCTTGATCATCGTAATTGTTACCTTACAGAGTGCCACGGATTCTACAGACATTTTTTCACTTTTGCATGTTTAAATAATAGAATATAATAAAAAATAATAGTTTATCTATAAAAAGGACCTCACATTTTTGGCAAAAATATCAAAAAATTTTGCCTGGCAAACTTCAAAAACTTGAAGCATCCANAGATAAGTCTAGGTATTTCTAGGTAAGTCTAGGTATGTCTAGATAAGTCTAGGTATTTCTAGGTAAGTCTAGGTATGTCTAGATAAGTCTAGGTATTTCTAGGTAAGTCTAGGTATGTCTAGATAAGTCTAGGTATTTCTAGGTAAGTCTAGGTATGTCTAGATAAGTCTAGGTATTTCTAGGTAAGTCTAGGTATGTCTAGATAAGTCTAGGTATTTCTAGGTAAGTCTAGGTATGTCTAGATAAGTCTAGGTATTTCTAGGTAAGTCTAGGTATGTCTAGATAAGTCTAGGTATTTCTAGGTAAGTCTAGGTATGTCTAGATAAGTCTAGGTATTTCTAGGTAAGTCTAGGTATGTCTAGATAAGTCTAGGTATTTCTAGGTAAGTCTAGGTATGTCTAGATAAGTCTAGGTATTTCTAGGTAAGTCTAGGTATGTCTAGATAAGTCTAGGTATTTCTAGGTAAGTCTAGGTATGTCTAGATAAGTCTAGGTATTTCTAGGTAAGTCTAGGTATGTCTAGATAAGTCTAGGTATTTCTAGGTAAGTCTAGGTATGTCTAGATAAGTCTAGGTATTTCTAGGTAAGTCTAGGTATGTCTAGATAAGTCTAGGTATTTCTAGGTAAGTCTAGGTATGTCTAGATAAGTCTAGGTATTTCTAGGTAAGTCTAGGTATGTCTAGATAAGTCTAGGTATTTCTAGGTAAGTCTAGGTATGTCTAGATAAGTCTAGGTATTTCTAGGTAAGTCTAGGTATGTCTAGATAAGTCTAGGTATTTCTAGGTAAGTCTAGGTATGTCTAGATAAGTCTAGGTATTTCTAGGTAAGTCTAGGTATGTCTAGATAAGTCTAGGTATTTCTAGGTAAGTCTAGGTATGTCTAGATAAGTCTAGGTATTTCTAGGTAAGTCTAGGTATGTCTAGATAAGTCTAGGTATTTCTAGGTAAGTCTAGGTATGTCTAGATAAGTCTAGGTATTTCTAGGTAAGTCTAGGTATGTCTAGATAAGTCTAGGTATTTCTAGGTAAGTCTAGGTATGTCTAGATAAGTCTAGGTATTTCTAGGTAAGTCTAGGTATGTCTAGATAAGTCTAGGTATTTCTAGGTAAGTCTAGGTATGTCTAGATAAGTCTAGGTATTTCTAGGTAAGTCTAGGTATGTCTAGATAAGTCTAGGTATTTCTAGGTAAGTCTAGGTATGTCTAGATAAGTCTAGGTATTTCTAGGTAAGTCTAGGTATGTCTAGATAAGTCTAGGTATTTCTAGGTAAGTCTAGGTATGTCTAGATAAGTCTAGGTATTTCTAGGTAAGTCTAGGTATGTCTAGATAAGTCTAGGTATTTCTAGGTAAGTCTAGGTATGTCTAGATAAGTCTAGGTATTTCTAGGTAAGTCTAGGTATGTCTAGATAAGTCTAGGTATTTCTAGGTAAGTCTAGGTATGTCTAGATAAGTCTAGGTATTTCTAGGTAAGTCTAGGTATGTCTAGATAAGTCTAGGTATTTCTAGGTAAGTCTAGGTATGTCTAGATAAGTCTAGGTATTTCTAGGTAAGTCTAGGTATGTCTAGATAAGTCTAGGTATTTCTAGGTAAGTCTAGGTATGTCTAGATAAGTCTAGGTATTTCTAGGTAAGTCTAGGTATGTCTAGATAAGTCTAGGTATTTCTAGGTAAGTCTAGGTATGTCTAGATAAGTCTAGGTATTTCTAGGTAAGTCTAGGTATGTCTAGATAAGTCTAGGTATTTCTAGGTAAGTCTAGGTATGTCTAGATAAGTCTAGGTATTTCTAGGTAAGTCTAGGTATGTCTAGATAAGTCTAGGTATTTCTAGGTAAGTCTAGGTATGTCTAGATAAGTCTAGGTATTTCTAGGTAAGTCTAGGTATGTCTAGATAAGTCTAGGTATTTCTAGGTAAGTCTAGGTATGTCTAGATAAGTCTAGGTATTTCTAGGTAAGTCTAGGTATGTCTAGATAAGTCTAGGTATTTCTAGGTAAGTCTAGGTATGTCTAGATAAGTCTAGGTATTTCTAGGTAAGTCTAGGTATGTCTAGATAAGTCTAGGTATTTCTAGGTAAGTCTAGGTATGTCTAGATAAGTCTAGGTATTTCTAGGTAAGTCTAGGTATGTCTAGATAAG